CACACACACACACACACACACACACACACACACACACAAAGACAAAACAAGATGAAAAAAAAAACAGAAGAAAAAGAAGTGTGGCAATGTATAGTTCCTTTTTTTTTTTTTTTTTTTTTTTGAAGAAACACCCTCTCCGGTGTTAGTGCTGCTGATAAGAGCAGGCACCAGTTCCATATTCTGGCTGAAGATTTATTTCGATTTTGCTCATCCTACACACACACACACACCCCGACATTGCCACGCTTCACCAAATGAGCAAAATGAGATTGAATCTTCCACTAGAACATGGAAGTATCCACTGCCATGACATGGAAATATACACTGCGAAAGACCGAAAATGTGGCAGTGTATATTACGATGTTCTAGCGACAGATTCATTCCAATTTTGCTAATCCTATGGATGGAAATCTCTCTCTCTCTCTCTCTCTCTCTCTCTCTCTCTCTCTCTCTCTCTCTCTCTCGCGCGCGCGCGATGACATTTGCATCTAACAACTCCTTAGTCCATACACCGGGATTTCTTTTCAATGCATCTGCCCGCCGTGGTGTGTCTCCTATGTTCTTGCGGAAGGTTCCTTTTCATTTTGCACATTGGCAGGCTGCTCAGTTGATGCATACATGAAACTGTTGAATTGCACACGTGAGCTCTAGTCCAGCAGCAACCACAATAAAATAATTCTGATTTCTACCCCCCCTGAATGTTGTGTGTCCCTCATGTTCTAAGACAAACACCCTCAATGTCACCCAGGCCAGATAATTCCCGTGCCTGGGGTGGGGCTGGAGGTGGGCCGTGGCTTCGCAGCGGCCCTCCCACCTACTCTGCTGCTGTCTTGATGCACTTTCGGGTAAGAAATTCCCATCTTCAATTATCCCCCTTTCCCCTGCCGCGGCATAGCTGCGCCGGGCTTACTTGTCTCTTCTCGTATACCTTAAAGGAAAAAGCGGTCCGCAGATGACGCTCCCACTGGGCCCAACAAAAATCAGGCAGGGAGTTCCGCGTCGGGTGCCCCAGGGGACCGAGGAGGGCGTGTCGGTTGGTGGGGGGCGTATTTGCTAAGAGCATCGTGGTGGTGCGCGGGGTTGGACCGAGGAGTACAACGGGGGTTTGCGGCACGTCCGTTCAAGGAGCGGGGCCAGCAGGACACTTGCGGGGTGAGGGTCGGCAGCGAGAATCGAACCGCGCAGACTGTCGGCAGGTGAGGGCGCGACCTGCATGAAAAGGAAGGCCGGGCCGGGTGGCAGGGGGCGGAGGGCGCCGGAGATACACACACACACACACACACACACACACACACACACACACACACACACACACAGAGA